CTGGGGTCACAAGGTGGTTACACAGGGGTCACGAGCTAACTGCTCCATGGGGATGACAATTCCTAGTTCCCAATAAATTAAATTAAATTAAATTATCCCATCTTTTTTTTAATGTAGAAGCAGCTGCTTAGAGGCATGCTTTGTGAAAGGGGTCACAAATACAAAAAGTTTGAAAACCACTGATCTATAGAGAATATAGTTCCTCTTTTTTTTTCCATGGGAAATATCTCATCTAAAATCCCTGAGGGTATTTCATATTGGAGGAATTTGAATGAGTCTCAACCAAAGTCCAAAACCCTAGCTTCCAAGTCAGCAAACTCCTGTGAAGCAAGGAAAATGTGAGAAACCTTTTATTTTTACAGTTTCAGTCTTAATTACTGCACACAAGTTTTTTAGGATTGTAATTGTCATAAGCAGCTAATTCTTTTAGGCTAGAGATTTAGAGCGCATCCGTTCCTGGCAACAGACTACTCCATGACATTGTAGTTCCTAGCGCCACAGAGTTAAAAGTGATTTGTTTGACTTGGTTCCACTTCATTACATAAATAGCACATAATTTCTAATTTCACACAGTCAAGATGGCCAGAAAATCCAGCCACAAGCAAGTTCTTCCTTTCATTGACAAAAGTTTAATTCATGCTGCTTAAATGTACAGTATTTCTCTAATCCCAGCCCCATGTCCAACAGAGCAAATGCAAGGCATGTTTTTCTTCTGAACTAGAAACCACTGTATTTGTCAAATTACTGTATACTTTTGTAATAATTACGCTGGGCAAAATGATGTGGGTTTGCTAAGTGCTTTGCACAACTTGAGGTGCGGTGTTATTCCTGTTAACACACATCTTAAAGTGCATGTATAATTATCATCATAAAAAGATGTTCAGCCTGAATAATATTGCGAACATTGATTTATTTTAACACAGAAGGTCAAGACCAACATTGCTTGCATGCCCTAAGTGACATTAATGGGACATTCGGAATCCAGCCTCTAAAAAAAGAGAAGATCAAGCCTAGAGAAATTAATTTTGTCTTTCAACCTGTAGCATTTGTTGGCATATATGTATATATCAAGACTATGAAAGTGTACTCTGAAAGTCCACTCATGCATAAACAGAAATATACATTGGAGGATATAATAAAGCCAAATACTTGTAAAATAATGTATTGTATTATCTCCTTCACTTCCTGGGATAGGAAAAAGTCTGTGGATTCCCATCTGAGAATTATGGAAGGAGTCTATATAGTCTTTATGACATCATTCGTCTCTTCCTTTGGCCCCCAGAGACTCATCTGAAAATGCCACAGAGGGACAGGGGTTTCCTGTGCAGTGTTATAGTGGTTTTGGGACTGTGGAGATGGCTGCAACTGCATCACTGCATTTCCTTGAAATCCTCCAAATTTTTGCAGTGAGTGAGAGTCTCTTTGTGCTTGTGCCTGTAGTAAATCACGGGCTGAAGGCTGAAAACCCCTGCTATTCAATATTCTCATCACTGGCACTCCTATCTAGCACTTCCAACCACCACAAATCCAAAATTCAAAGACAAAACAGAAATACTTTAAACAAACAAATCAGCTAAAACAAACAACAACAAAAACAATCCTAAAAGGGGAGAAGAGCCAGATACTCAAAACTACCAGTGACTCCACTGTCATCAAGTTATTTTACATAAATGTTTACTCAGATATTGCAGGAATGGGCAGCAGCAGAAACTCTTGGATAGATAGGTCCATGGTTGAAGAATAAACCCAGTTTCCAGACAGAAATCCAAAGAAACATCACCTGTCCAAAGCTGTGGTTTTCCTGCATCTACACAAAATGACCAGCTCATTGCAATCACATATACAAAAACAATTTCTTAATGATTATTATTATAGTACATGAACAACGTTTCATTAATGTTTTATTGAGAAAAAATTTCATGTTATTATTTATTAACAATAAATGGTTTCTTACAGTTAAAATGACTATTTATACCAATATTTCACATTTTACATCAGTTTAACTGTCTTTTGTTTCAAAAGATGAGAATAATTGAAGAATAACACAACCACTTGCAACAGTGGTGGCAAATTGTTTTCTTAACTGTTATCTGTGCAAGACATTGGTACTGAGATCCAGATTCTTGTTTAAAAGATATGAGGCCCCCAGGGCCGGCTTGAGCCATTCCTGCGCTCCGGGCAGCGGGTGCACGACGCATGCGTGGCCCCGCCCCCAGCGCGCTGCGCACCTTTTTAAAAGATATGAGGCCCCCGGGGCCGGCTTGAGCCATTCCTGCGCTCCGGGCGTTTAAAAGATATGAGGCCCCCAGGGCCGGCTTGAGCCATTCCTGCGCTCCGGGCAGCGGGTGCACGACGCATGCGTGGCCCCGCCCCCAGCGCGCTGCGCACCTTTCAGCTGCTATTGGGCGTGTGGCACCTGATGGCAGCTCTAAGGGGTGCCGCATGGCCAGTCACGCGATGCTCCTTACAGCTACCATCAGGCACCCCCATAGGCTGGCACCCCGGGCAGCTGCCTAGCTAGTCCCCCCCCCCTTAATCCAGCCCTGGAGGTCCCTATTTTTACTGAATTTGTTATGCTACTTAATTAAAATGAAATGTTATATTTAAAATATTTAAAAAAAACCCACATGCACACAAAATAGGTTAGAGTTTTCAGAAGGAGTGGAAAACCACAGATCTATACTTACTTTAACTTTTCATCCCACCATATGTTCCATTTAATGTCTTTGAGGCATAGGAGTGAGTATAGCTTTTACAATGCATTTCATTTTTATGTGTTTGAAAGTAGTAGTGGGCCCTGTGTAACTGCAAAGCTAGTCTGACTCCCTGCCCCAATGAACTTTCAGTCTAATCTTAAAAAACAATGAGCAGTTATAATTATCAGAGCAAAGACAAGAGTAACAGGAATATAAGCACATACGGTTATATAATCTTGTGGTGGGCAATATAAAATCATTAATTATTTCTTTTAAATACTAAGAGAGAAATCCTTAGGCATCACTGACACACCATCAACTTGAATCTGCTGTGGTAAAGAATCGGGAGCCATGATCATGGTCAGCAGAATGATTGTAACCATTGCATGTTGAATGAACCTGAATGGTGGCATTGAATATTGTACAGCCAGAGAAGAGTAGGCTGACATAGCAGGGACAGGAGATTATGAAGATTTTAATCATGGGCACAGAGAAGAAAAGATCTTTGAACTGTCCTGGAGAAATAAGTGCCAAGATTTGAAAGACCCCAAATGTGAGGAGATAACGATGAACAGAAGAATCTTCAGTGTTCTGAAAATCACTTGCAAAAGTCAAGAGAAAAACGGGATCATTCCTTTGGCAGGATTTAACTTCAAACCTGATACTTATTGTAATGTATTTTTATGTGCATATTAACTTGAGAGGCACATTTATAGATAGCTACAAGGCAAAACCACTAACATTGTTAGCATGTATTCAAGTAACCGTGTTGGGATATTGACTATTGTACTAAAGTGAAACAATGTGTAACAATCCCTACTTGATTCTGGAAGGCAGTGAAGACTAATCCCTTTTTTGGCTTCCAAGTCTAATTAGACACTTAAATTTTATGGTATTTGTCTATTAGGAACAATGAAAACATTAAAAAAAGTTGTTAGGGACGATATTTACTGAAAAGCCAGGGATCATAAAACACATGAAACCAGCCCAGTGTGAAGATTTTCTTTTTCTGCTATGAGGATAAATTCTTCATCCACGTTTACTTCGGGGCCTATGCTGGAAGATACTGTGTTGGATTCTGGTGCATTGATGCTGCTGGCAATCAGCACAACCCCACATTTAGGTGGAGGCAGGCCAAGAAATGGACAGAGGCAGGGCAGCCAGGAAGTCCTATTGTCTTTCCATTTAAATTCATCTCCTCAATTTCCTGTCTTATAATCCTGATATTAGGCCCAATTCTACAGAGAGGTTCAACAGACCTCAGTGGGAATGCCACATGCAAATTGAGGCTCTTTGGCCTCACTCACCTAAACTACTGCCTACTTCAATGGGAGTTTTGAATAAGGACAAATTCCATACACCCTCCTCCCTCTCCCACCCCACAGTCTTACAGAGGGTATTTTAAGGGGAGTGTGTGTAATCCTCCCCAAGCCCTTAAAGTAGGGAATTAAGGAAGGAGTACCAGAACCTCAGTAGAAAAGGAGGGCCCATCTCCAAGGTTCTATCCCCTGATCATCTTCTTCCCCGAGGCCCTGCCCCCTAGCCAGGTCAGAAGTCAGAGCTGAGCAGTGGTAAGAGCCACCTGGAGAGCCCTATACCTTCCACCTGCCCTGGGTATCCCACCCAGGGATGGAACAAGGTCCAGTGCTTCCCACAGCAGCTCAGGATCCCTGAGCAGCTCTTAATAGTGCCCAAATCTGGCTTCCAGCTTGGCCAGAGGTTGGAGCCTTGTGGGGTGGAGGAAAAAGAGGAATGGAGGAAGAGACAGAACTTTTGGTGGGGGGCAGCTAAGGCCCACTCAATTCCCACCTCACCCCCTGCACACACATACTGGGAAAAGGCTGGTGCTGCTGGAAAGTGCTTTACCTCACAGTGGGGAAGTGAATTACATGGTGCCACTCCATCGGTGCTTAAAGCTAACAGTTCAAGGGAACAATGCAGCCTCTTGGTCTCAAATTATGCTTGTGTTAAACAAAGGGCATTGCCCTCCTGCTTTAAAAGTACAGGTTCCAGTTGGCCCCGAGTATAGATGTTCCACACTTGTACTTCAATTCCCTGGCTATTATTAACCGCAAGTTTTGGTCACTAGAGCCTTGTAATCACTTCCTTTCACAACATATTACCTCCCTCCAACTGTACCCTAAAGTCCTTCCTTATATACTGCAACAGAGCTCTAGTAGGAAATTTTGGGGGCAGAGATGATTGATAGGGTTCACTAAAAATATATCAGTGCTGGAGCTTCCCCACCTCTGAGATAGAAGGATTAATTGTAGTCCCTGTTTAAAGAGAGAACTTTCAACAAACCTTCTGTCTTCTTCCAGTAGACTTTGACCTGAAGTTGATTGTCCTGATAGAAAGGAGCTCCAATTTCAAGAAGACGAGTCGGTTTCCTTCTTTGAAAGGGTGGAAGAGGATCAGCTAGTCCCTTCTGGATTTTCCCAATTGGCGAGGTCTGTTCTTCTGTAACACACAACGCCATCAGAAAATGACTTGATTCAGTACAGTGCAACCTAAACACTGAAGCATTATGCTAATGATGTTTCAGAGTCAGAAAGTGAAACTGACTAGAAACTAACCATTCGTGTTTCATTGCCCCAACGGAGTGAAATAATAATATTTTAAAAGCTATTTTAATGTAAGAATGTTTTATAGTTTTATATTCTCTTCCTTCAAATTCCTACTGTATTTATACCTAGATTTAATTTAATAAAAGTATTGAATGTTTAGTCCTGCCATGAATGTCGGGGACTGGACCAGATGAGCTCTCAAGGTTCCTTCCAGTCCTATGGTTCTCTGATTCTATAATCCTACAAGCAAGAAATGTTGATACTTTCATATTCTAATAGGCATTATATGGTTGCTGTAGTTTTGTATAAAATTTTGGGTGCTATATTTTCATACGGGAGTTAAATACACACAAATGCACAAATACAGTGTATTGTATAACCTACAGAGATGGGTACTACATTGAAAAAAATGTGCCTTTGGTATACTGAAACAGCTTACTAAAATATGCCAGAATTTAGGAACAGAATTTGAATATTCCTCGGGCATCTTCAATATAGAAAAGAGTAGTATTTAATCCAATCATTGAATTAGCACTTTCAATACCTGATACTTGCAGATTCCAATTTAGAGGATAATATTTACATCTGATTTTGAAATATGATATGTTTCATTACAGTGATTGAATGGAAAGTAAAAATGCTAATGATCAAGAAGCTGCTATTGAATAAACAGTACATTGCAAAGAATGGAGAAGAGACTCAGGTTTGGTTTATTACATAAAATAATTAGGTAAAATATAAATTTGAAGGTTCTGCCTTGTTTGCAGTTAAGTTTCAACTAAATCTCCAATTGCTTTATGTTCATAATCAAATAAGTTTTAGTACATTGTTCCTTTCCTTAACCAGATTATTCACTTGTTCTTTTCCTTCATTGAAGAAAAATGAATCACCAAAAATTGATAATTTTATTCTTCACACACACTTCTATAGTGTGACTTCATTGCAACTTATTATAAGCAGGTTGTAAATTAATACAAAGAAGGGTAAACAAAAACTGGACCCATAGCTTGTGTTTTGGTTTACATATGCATATCCTGTTCTCCCTCTCTTGGTCTGTCCATTCTTGGGAATAAGGGCCTTGAACAAGATGATCCCTACATATCTATCACTTCAGAAAGAAGTATTCATGTTGTATGTTGCACAAGAAGGAAACAGACAAAAAATGTGGAATGATGAGGTAATATGTTCCTAAGTGTGAAGAAACCTCTTAGGGTGCATCTACACTGCATCCTTAGCTCGAAATAAGCTACACAATTTGAGCTACACAAATTGTGTAGCTTATTTTGAGTGTATTTCAGAATAGATGCCCCGTAATTCCAAAATAAACCACTATTCCGAAATGCCCCTTAATCCTTGTGGAATGAGGTTTACAGGAACTTCACAAGAGCATGCCCATTATTTTGAAAGATATTTCAAAATAAGGGGCATGCTGTCAAGACGTAGAATAGTTTTTCAGGACACTGGAAGTATCCCGAAATAGTTCTGCACTGTAGACAAAGCCTTAGGGTCCTTCTACTAACATTAGTTACCTTATTGTACTGGGCTGTAGATCAAATCCTTTGTTTTCTGTAGTTGATTATCTAGCTGATACGGTGAAACCAAAAAGATTTTCAAGATTAGGAGACATGCTCCAATATATGGCATGATAAGTGAAATTTGGTTTGTTATCCTTGAAAAGTTGTTTTCAGTGTTGTTGCAGCTGGGTTGGTCCCATGATGTTAGAAACTCAAGGTAGGTGAGATAATATCACCGACTAAACCAACCTCTGTCAGGGTATGTCTACACTACAGCGCTAATTCGAACTAATGGATCCAGACTAAAAAACTAGTTTGAATTAGCGTTTTGCTAATTCGAACTAGCATGTCCACATTAAGTGGACCCTGAACCGGGGTTAAGGATGGCGGGAAGCAGTGCCGGCAGGGCATCAGATGAGGACTTAGAGCGTAGAGCTGCTGCCTCAGGCTAGCCAAGGGCTGTGCTTAAAGGGACCCGACCCCCCACCCCGGACAGACAGTTC